GGATGCCGTTGGCCTTCTTGGCCGCCTGGGCACACTGTCGGCTCATGTTCAGCCGGCTGTCGACCAACACCCCAGGTCCTTTTCCGCCAGGCAGCTTTCCAGCCACTCTTCCCCAAGCCTGTAGCGCTGCATGGGGTTGTTGTGGCCCAAGTGCAGGACCCAGCACTTGGTCTTGTTGAATCTCATACAGTTGGCCTGGGCCCATTGATCCAACCTGTCCAGATCCCTCTGCAGAGCCTTCCTACCCTCGAGCAGATCAATACTCCCGCCCAACTTGGTGTCGTCTGCAAACTTACTGAGGGTGCACTCCATCCCCTCCTCCAGATCATTGATAAAGATATTGAACAAGACCGGCCCCAAAACTGCGACCTGGGGAACACCGCTCGTGACCGGCTGCCAACTGGATTTCACTCCATTCACCACAACTCTCTGGGCCCGGCCGTCCAGCCAGTTTTTGACCCAGCGCAGAGTACACCTGTCTAAGCCGTGAGCCGCCAGCTTCTCTAGGAGAATGCTGTGGGAGATGGTGTCAAAGGCCTTACTGAAGTCCAGGTAGACCACATCCACAGCCCTTCCCTCATCCACCAGGCAGGTCACCTGGACATAGAAGGACATGTTTGTCATGTTTAGGTTGTGACAGGCAGACGTGCTGACTTCGCAGCAGTCCATGTTTGTGAGGAACGAGGATTTTTGGGAAGTGGAAAGGACACAGTGCAAATGGGGAAGGGAATTACTTCTGAGAGTGGAGACCACACCACTCTCCATTAATGGTAAAACCTTTCTATGTCACAGTTGCTCCTACAGTCTTACCCTAATCATTTCTCTTCCACCACTGAATATGTAGTGGAAGAGCACTGCGAGTGCTGCATCTGATTTCATATCTTTGAAGTATTAATAATCCAGTTCCATATTCAGTGGTTTTGTGAGTGGCAGAAAGCAATTAAAAAATCTCTGGTAATGTTTAGGCAATGATGAGACAAAATACTCTTGTAGGTGCATTCTTGTATAGGCAGCGCAGCCCCACAACATCACTGGAGTTACTCTGGGATTTCTGAGTTAAAATGAAGATTGAGTTATTCATTACATGCCTTATTAACACTCATCTCAAAATTTTGCTTCATTATACATAACCACAGTTGAGCATGGTTGTTCAGCTGAGCATGATGAATGAAAGATATAAAGACGTGGAATGCTGTATAAATGCATGGATCTTTTACCTCCTTTGGTACTGCATCCAAAAGCACAAATTCATATTTGTACAGGAACAGCACAACGAACAACTGGATTTCCATGATAGCAAACCACCTGCAAGAAAATGGAGGAAAACGTTGGTCATCCAGCCTGACGATCACACGTGTGTTATCATCAGATAAGAAACAGGGTGTCTTTGACACATTTTACATTCCATGCTTTAGTTCTGCCTGAACGTTTATCTTCAGTAGGAAAATATGCCGTAGCTTTGTTCAGCTTCATTGCTCAGCGACGAACACAAATGCAGTGGCTGCCCCTTCTTTCCGGTGAAACGTTAGACCGACAGTATCCCTCTGACACCCTATTTTAAAACAGCCCCTTATCATTATGGTTTTTTCCACTGTGTAAACATTTATGTTCTTCTAATGCTTGCTGACTTGAAATAACTTCATAGGAGTGAGAAGACAGTCAAATATAGAAAAGGCTATATGACTAATTGTGCTATATAAAGTTATAGAATACAGCTGGGAGCCTGATGACATCAGAGTAGCTGTGACAGTGGGAGTTATTATTTAATGCGTCAGCGTTAGAATGCAGTATGAGGCCCAAGGGCATGATTTTTTTTCTGTAACACTCTCAGAAAGGTCTTTCTTAGTCAGTCCGGAGATTTCGGATAACAGCAGGTGAACTCCTCTAGGCTATTATTTTTTCATGTTGGTATGTACAAGAGCTTTCTGCATTCAGGCACTAGCATGTACCTATGCCAGGTCATGGGATTACTCACTTGCAGAATTGAGACATGTCTTAAATACCTAGTTAAAATAGTAATACTGCCTTGCTCTTCTACCCAGTTTATTTTCCATTATCTGAGATATGCTGGAAAACTTGGATAAAACAGCTATTGGGGAATTCGCTGGGGAGAAGGCCACATGACTGCACATGGCATCAGCCTGGATTTGGCCTGGCAGGTGTGAGGAGGAAGCTAATAAGCCCCACGAGACCCAACCTAACTCCTGCAGAGCCATCCAGATCTGTGCACTGAGCCGCCCTGTGCTCCGGAGTGGGAGGATGCTTGTTTGTTTTGGCTTAGCTTCAGACCCAAATTACCCCTGTGATTTCACATTGGAATTACCTTGAGATAGGGAGCTTGTGGTGACCTTGAGCTCGGGGGAATGCAGTGCAGAGATATTTCAATGGAAATTAGCTCAGGTCAGGCAGGACTTGCTAGCCCAAACTCCATGCCGGTGGCACCGTACAAAGATGGGCTCCTTACAGTCACTGCACTGGTTGCACAGTGTGGTCCTGGGCCCCTGGTGCTTGAGGTCCTGCCTCTGAGCCATCCTCACTGGTTTGGCATAGATGTACCAGGATGTGGCCAAATGCCAAAATGCCTCTAGGTGGCCCTGAAAGTGGAAGCGCTGCATTTACAGAGGTCCGTCCTTCAAACACAAGCACAGCTGGATGTGAGCTGACCAGCTCTGACACCTCTGTACCCGTGGCGGGGTTCATCTGCAATATCTGCCCGAGTGGCATTGGATATAACCGATAACTGCAGCACTTCCCACCGTTAGATCTCAGAGTGCTTTTCCAAGCAGACTGCTGTTGTTATTCTGCTCTGTAGAGATGCTGAGGCATAAGGATGATAAGCAACACACACGTGCCAGGGTGGCCAGAGGGACAGCCCAGGAGGGAAAAGCAGGACTGCAGAGTCCCAGTGCGTCCCTCCCTCCCACAGCACATTGTACTGAGCAGAAACCATGAGCTTTCTTGCAGCTAAATGCCCCTTAGTTCCTACCTGTCTTTCGTATTCATGACTGAGTCCTAGGGCCTCCCCTAGAACTCTGAGTCACTGAAGCCTTCCCGTTCTATTTAGTGACAAGGGGGTTTGACAAAGATGTGCTTTCTGAAATCTTGCCCCTGATGCGCTGCTACGTATTGGTGTTGTGCTGGAACCCAGGAGCCCAGCTGTGGATTGAGGTCTTGCAGTAAATGGAGTCTGAGAATGAAATGGCCGTTGTGCTGAAGGGTTTACAATGTCAGCATAAGATAGGAGACAACAGATGGAGCCATGCAAGATAAGCACAGTCGCACAGGCAGTAGTCACCTGGTTAGACAGAAGTAGCTTCACTGCCATCAAATTTTTCTTTTGGGTAAAAATGATGGCACAGAAATGGCTTTGTGGGAGCTCTTCCCATGTCAGTTTCCTAGAATATTTGACAAGTAAGTTATTTTCTGGCTTTCAGTTTGATTAAATTAGCTTTTAATTTCATGATGAACTTTTGCAATGGAGAAATTAAATGTTTCATACCTTTAATTTATAAATCCCAGTACTGAATTAAATGAAAATGCATCTTAAACTTGAAATATCGTTGTTTCATTCAGTCACACCAAGGAAATCTGCAGCCTGGGATCTAGATACATCCCTTGATTTAATTTCCTTTCTTCCAAGACCACCACATTATTCTTTTAGAATTATTGCTGAAAAACGTGAAGGTGTGTGTTACCATGTGGACTGCCAAAGGGTTTGAAAGGACTTTTTGTCTGTCAGCAAGAAAAAGATTCTCCATCCATTGCCTATGTAGAAATGTTATCATTTTCTTTCCAACCACAGACTTATTTTAAAGATATTATCAGAGCCCAGAGAACAGCCTGAACAAAGAAATAGGTCAGTATATATAAACAAGCAGCTTTCAGAAACATTGTTTTGCAGCTTGTCCTGTACCTGTGGATGCCTCTTGTGAATTCTGCTATTGCCCTTGGCTGGGAATGAGGTTGTGCTCATATTTAGCTTAGGAATATGGTACAAGTCATGGAGGTACAGCAGTGCGTGAGCACTTTCCTCCGGCAAGCCTAAATGGTGAATGCAGTTTTATTCATTTTGTTTATGTCTTTAATGTCTTCACAAAGTTTATCTGAAACCCATGTCCAGCCTGCTATAGGGTGCATGCAGATTCAGGAATGCAGATCCTCTGCAACACCGTCTGTATTCCTCGCTCCACATGGGACTCTTGAGTTAAACTGACCAGTTTTAAGGATTCTTGGTTATTTGCTTCCTAGAGGAGACCATGTTTTGAAGGCAGAGAATTGAGCGTAGAGATGTTTGAACACAGAAACGAGGAGCAGCTGGCTCCCTGGGACTTGTTCCAGGAAGAGGGACAGCAGAGAAAACAGCAGAAGGAATGCAGGAAGCATTGAGGCTGGCATTGCTGGAGGAGTGAAGGGAGTCAGGATCTGCAACTTAAGCCATCATACAATTGCGTGGGCCTTAATGCAAAGACAAGATTTAAACACAGAGGAGACAGTTAAGATATTTGAAGATTAGCAGAGATGGCAGTGGCATCATAGAGGATGGAAAGAGAGTCTCAGACCAGAGAAATGTTCTTTAGGTTAGTTTAGAACTGGTTTATGGCAGCCTAAAAGCCTGTGTCTGTAAACTGGCATGTTTGTAAATGGAACAACTCTCCCTTGATGAAAAGGTGCCTCAGCAGCAGCAGAGCTAGGCTCACTTTCCTTCCTGGGGGATATCCCTTGATATGCTAGTCTCAGATTCTGCTTTTACATCGTGACTTAACCTGTCTTTTCCAGGAATGAAACCACTTTCAAATCAGTTTAAACTAGGTCCAGATAATACTGAACATTAGGGGACTGACAAAGAGCAAAGCAATGAAAACACTTTATCTCCAAGTGTAAGAGGAGCCCGGTTCAAGAGAGTTGTTCTCTGCAGGCTTTGGGAATAAATAAACCCCAGCTGTTTCACTGACCTTCCTGGACACTGATGCTTCCCTCCTCCGAATGCCACAAAGCTGTCCAAGAAAGCATTCTTCTCTAAATTTGCCTCTTTCCAACGATCCTGTGGGAAGAAACTTTTTTTTTTCCAAATCAGCCTTATATAAATAAAGCTTAACGTTATTTCTCCAGGCTAAAAATGACCTTGGACAGCTAATGCTCAATACAAAGTTGCACTAATGCCATTTTTTGCATTCAACCTGTTAGTGTCAGAGTCTGGATTCAAAAGTCAGGAGCAACTCAGGGAAAGAAATGAGGGTCCCATTTGCAACATGCTTAGTGCTGGAGAGGTTTTCAAAATCACCCCTAAAGCGTTCTTCCTATGCCTCCCCATTTTTCTAAATCCTGCGTCTTGAGCTATTGAAATGCCTATAAAAATGTGACCTTCTCCTTTTAAATATATGCACGTTCAAAGCAAGTGTTCAACCAGTACCTTCCCTCAGCCACAAAATTGTATCACAGCACACATACGGCTCGTGCACATCTTGCACACAAACTGTTTCTAAGACACTGTGCACAGATAAATGCAAAGTGTATGAGCTGTCACACAAGAGAAAGGCAAGGATTGCACAGCCCCGTTCTCAGGTGCAAGCCAGCGTGTGAGAAAATTAACTCTTCCCAATGAAAACAGCCTGTCTGTACCCAGAGGGCTCCTTGCTCCATCCTGAGTTACTTTAAGAGAAAAGGAACAACACAAGGAGCAAAGCAATATCGGCTAAAGTTTGGGTGGGTGGCACTGACAGAGGTAAATCTCTTGAATGCTGGGTGACAAACTATATATACCAGCCTCCAGAAACTCAGTGCAACTCTACCAAGGCCTTCAAGTAATACCCTGTCAATTTTATGGAGGCTAACTCCTCTGATGAAGCTGTCTTAGAGAAGATGTAATCTTGTGTTTGTTTATTTTGGGTTTTTTTCAGCTTGGGCTGTTTAGAGCTTTCTGAAGAGGAAACCTGTTAGCATCAAAATCCAATAAAAGCAAGAAAAAAACATCTCAGCGGTGATGAAGCAAGGCGGTACCATTTGGAATGGCAATGTCTGAGGGTTACTCACCTATTCCTCATGGAAAAAGGGTGAGTTTCTAAAAAACAAGCTAGCTTGCTTTTTAGGAATAAAGTTACTAAAGGAATAAGCTGCTGCATCAAGGTTTCTGCTCAGGGTTTCAAACAGGCAGGAATTGTTATGAGGGATTTCAAGTTGGTGAAGAGTTTGCTAGAAGGGAAGTTTTGTTTAAATTACTCCTTGATGTATTTCTATAAAAAAAGACAAACCGTTCTATAGCAGATGGTGCTAAAAAGAGCAGTTACAAGCCTGCCCACACGGCCACCTGGAGTGGAATAACAATCAAGAAACTCTAGATGAACTACTGAATTAGCAGAGCTAATACCTACCAGAAATCATCTGACTGGAAAGACCAATGAGCCTGGGTAAATACGTGGAGATGAGCTATCCAGACAGATGCCAGGGAGAGGAGAGTACTTGGAGTTGGGTTCAACAGTGAAATCAGTGGGGTCTTTCCACAGTGGGCTTTGAATCAAGATCAAAGTGATATAAAGTAGTACCATATTATCTGGAATATATAACTGAACTTTTCAAGTCTTGCTTATTCCTACAGGCTCCTCCTTTTTGTGCACATCCTCTCTGTATACAAGGCCATCCTCCAGACGATGGGGAATACCCGACTTTAAGCCAATTTGTCCATGTGTTTTTGTTGTGAAATAAGTGAAGAGGAGAAAAGACAGCAGAATACCCACGCTGAGTGACAACTTACAGGTTTGAACATTTCTGGGTCAGGAAAATATTTTGGATTCCTGTGCAACCAATACGGTGACAACATCAGCAGGTCACCTGCAGGGACGGTGAAATTCTGAAAAGGAGAAAAAACTCTAAGAAAAGAGAAAATCACGGGTTCAACTCACAAAACAGTCCCTCCTTAGTACTTCTCTTCCATCAGCAGAAGGTCCTAACAGAGGACAAGTGAAGGTGGTAAAGCCACAGTAGACATATTACATGTTTGAAGCTGCTGCTTCCTGTTGCCATTTTTCCACAAGAAAGACCTAAACAGTGGAGAATGTGGAAAGACTATTTTTGTTCTCATTTGGTTTTTCAGGTATAGAAATAATAGTAACATTATTTCTGTCTTTCCCACTTCTTGATGTACCGTGTGAACTGGTATTTTTTTCTACATCTTTCGTTAAGCATTTCCTTAAAAATACAAAGAAATTCATAGAAAGACTTATATGACAATAGACCTTTATGGGACTTCAGTAATTTCTTAAATGGGCATGAGTGCTGATTCCTTAAGAGAGAGTGTTTTTCTCCCAAACATTTATTTGTTAGACTCCTGAATGCTGGCACTTCCCCTCTAAACGGCACTGAAGAAAACAAACAGAAAAGAACGAGTTTTATCAGTTACTAAATCGTGGTGCCTTTTACTGCATTTGTTGTGTCTGATTACTGTTTCATATACCATCAGCACAGTATCTCCAGCTCAATTCAATTTAATGTAAAGTCAATTAAAAACTGAAGGTAAGACTATGAGCAAAAGAAGCAAAACCACTCTTAAATTAATGACAATTAAAAGAATGATGATGAATAAATCTGTTAAACTAAATAGAATTTATATGTGAGATTGTGGAATATCTCTACTATTTTAATTTTATCTAGATCTATTGGGAGGCCACTTTCCAGACAAATCATACAGCATCCTTCTGGGGAAAAAAAAAAACAGAAAAAAAAAAGAAACTGACCTGAATTCTTATTGGGTTTACTACTTTCTTGGTGATTGCACCTGGAGACCTCAGCCGTATGGCTTCCAAAGTGCACCATTTAATAAAAGGGAGCTTCTTAAGGTCCTCTTCAGAGACTTCTATTTTATCTTTACCTGTTATGGCATGAGAAAGAAGACTCCATGTAAAAATTAGATCTCATACTTGTTTTGGTACGTGCTGAAATGTCTTGCTTTAGACCTTCTGATAGAATACCTCAAGACTTTAAGACCTTGTTTGCACCCAGAAATTTTCTTTATATTTCAGAGTAAATAAATGAATGAGAATCATTAATCATCTTACAATTTAAGAAAAGACATTGAAGATAATTTAATAACTCTAAGGTAGCTGTAGATATGGCATTTGCCAGAAGAGGCCAAACAAAGGTCATCTTGGAAGTTAAGAGCCCCTGGACTTTTTCAGTACTTTGGTAGGACACTGCATGGGAATCTCAGGGACTGTAGGCACCAAGACAAGTAGTCAAGGCTGAGCTCTTGGGCTATGTTAACACTAGCAAATAAAACAGGGCCAGGAGAAAAGCTTAAGCACTGGTTCATGATTATCCTTATTGGTTAATTATTGACATGTTCCTTAAAATCATAGAATCATTAAGGTTGGAAAAGACCTCTAAGATCATCAAGTCCAACCATCAACCCAACACCACCATGCCCACTAAACCATGTCCCTAAGCGCCGCATCTACACGTCTTTTAAATACTTCCAGGGATGGTGACTCAACCACTTCCCTGGGCAGCCTGTGCCAATGTTTAACCACTCTTTCAGTAAAGAAATTTTTCCTCACGTCCAATCTAAACCTCCCCTGGCACAACTTGAGGCCATTTCCTCTCGTCCTATCACTTGTTCCTTGGGAGAAGAGACCGACCCCCACCTCGCTACAGCCTCCTTTCAGGTAGTTGTAGAGAGCGATGAGGTCTCCCCTCAGCCTCCTTTTCTCCAGGCTAAGCAACCCCAGTTCCCTCAGCTGCTCCTCATCAGACTTGTTCTCCAGACCCCTCACCAGCCTCGTTGCCCTTCTCTGGACACGCTCCAGCACTTCGACGTCCTTCTTGTAGTGAGGGGCCCAAAACTGAACACAGTATTTGAGGTGCGGCCTCACCAGTGCCGAGTACAGGGGCACGATTGAAACCACATTCCTTGATGTGGTTTTGTCCCATGTCAACTAAGAGTCTTCCATGGAAGTCTGAGTGTTGTTCAGGGGACTGCATATGTGAATGACTGCTCCCAGTAGGTGACTGTTTTTTCAGCGAAAGAGATTAGTCATGTGGGGGTGAATCATGCTGGACAAATCAGCCTCAGATGAGAGAAAAGAGAACAGTTCCTGGCCTGTTTTTCCACAGAGTAGCTGTAACTCTGGTGGACATCACACCATGAAAAGTAGCTGAATTGAAAGACCTCATCTGACCCTCTCATATGCATGAAAGAAGCACAAGACTGGTTAATACAAATCTAGGTCTAAATGATAGGTGTGGAATGAAGAGACAAATAAATTTGGTTCTTTTTCTACCCTTCTTTTGCTTACGTCAAAGGTGGTTTTGCTTAAAAATACGTCTTGAGCATATGCTGAGTAAAGAACTCAGAGCTGGACCCTATGTCAGCAGTAGTACCTTCAGCAGCAACATTTGTTATTCCCAGCCATTGACCATTGGCCGTGTGCTGGGCCAACACAGAATAAGTAATTTCTAGGTTCCAGAAGGACATGGATCGGATTTATTACCTGCTTTGCCAAAAACAGAAGTTAGGTCTTCCATGATTTTCTTGTAAATGGAAGGATAAGAGAGTATGAAAACAAGGGTCCAGAATGCAATCTAAACAGAGATGAAAGTACTTTAACTCAGGAATATGGAACAGAATTACAGTATCCTTGTAGCAAATCACAGAGGCAGCTGAAAACATTTGCACTTTTTTGGATGTGCCTGTTGTATTTAGGATGCACAGGGAGCTGTGCTTCCAGGGTAAATCCACATCTAAGGGCTCAGATCCTGGGAGATTAGGTCTAGTCATCTGCTGTGTACTTATCTTCAGTGAACATTGCATAGCTTTGGCTTTGACCTTTGAAACGCAGAATCCTTTCTTTAATTTCAAATAACTAGGTGTTAAAATGAATTACTAAATCATTGTGTGTGATTAGATTTAGCTGCATGAATGGAAGAAAAATTAAATAGTAAATTCCTACTAATATTAGCAGAAATGAGGTGAAATAATTTGCAGCGTTGTCACAGTGAGTTACACTAAAATGGGCAGGAAAAGTTGTAATTAACAGCAAAACAAGCAGTAGTATATCCCCTTTACAAATAATTTGCTAACTGATTATGCAATGAAGTTGAAAATCAAGAAATTTAGGAAGGGAGAAAATCCTCTTAAGTAGGACGAAACCAGAAGGACTCGCAGCACTGCCAGGAGTCTCTCTCCTCTTGCTGAGTAGCGGGAGATGCAGTCTGCATGCCAATCTGGTTGCGGGCCATCTGTGCTGGTGAGGGATGAGAACTCTTACTGTTATTTCCCAAACAGCCCCATGCGGATGCAGCCCTCCTGCAAAACAAATCTGGTAGCTTAGTTTTCTTGTACAGCACTTGGACACGGTGGCTTCACTCCATGGGCCGAGGAGGGATAACTGAGTTGTTTCAGATAAAAGGGTTTAACGAGCTTGTAAAAAATCCCCTTGGAAGGTGAAAGGCCTTTTTTCATCATTCCGGTCACCAGAACAGTGGTTGTGACTATTCTGAGAAACAACGAAATATCTGCCTGTCTATTTACAGCTGAATATTACAGAAGTAAGTAATGATAGTGTTGTGGAAGGAATGTCAGTTATCCTGATAACAGACAGCAGGCTATGCCTCTCGCTTATACCAACACGTGAATCCACAGAAACCTCACTGAAAAGGATGAAATTCCTTTAGGGTAAATTGTAGTAATAGCCAATCTACAAAAAAGATAGATATATCCATTAGGACTACATATAAAAATAACTCACTATCATTTTTTTTCTAAATCACATCTGTAACGGACATAACTGTGCTGGAAAGAGCTCAGTAGTCATGGTAAATAAAGGATGTTTTCGCTGCTATGCATTTTTCATCTGAGAAATTCCTATAAATGTCTTTGGTCAGCCTAAGCTGTATTAGATATATTGGGTTTGTTAGCGTACATATATCCGTACCATTAATCTGTCAAATCCGTTTCCAACATAGACAAAACTTAAGTGGCAGCAGAATCAAACTATTGCTTTTCTTCCCCTGAAGCAACACTGGTGTTTGTACGGCAGATCCCCCAAAGCGGAAGAGCCAAATTCACTCAAGGATTTACGCAGAGATGAAGTTACTCTATATTATGCTTTTTGATATTCTTTACAGTCGATGACACCAGGCTATTTAAAATAGAGTCTCTACTATAACACAGCCATAGTGCTTCAGAATAGTTAAATGCTCTTCACAGCTTAAGACTGTGATCTTAATAGCTATGAGACATATGTTCCCAAAATCTTATGATAGGGGACATAATAATTTAGGAAAAATACAAGAAGAGCTTTTCTTGTCATTGCTTCTGTGGCGCTGCGGCGTGGGTATATTTGTAGTGATGCATGTGGGCGTGATAATCCCTTCTTTGGAATACATGCAGTGTGCGTGACCTCTGCTTCAAAGTCTTTGCTTCCCAAAACCAGGCTTTTGAACAGGGTAGAGAGAAGGTGTTTCTCTAGCTGATGTACTTACAGGGACAGCATTTGCTTGGGAAGCCCAGAGCATCAGGAGACCATAATTGGGAGCTAGATGTTTTCCTTGCAAGTTATCCAGGAGATGTTGCAGCAGTGTCTGTTATAAATAAAAGATAATAATGCGTATTTCCAAAAATATATTAAAATCTAATTTAGGGTAGGGCTTACTAGAATTCAAGGATATAACCTAAGACTAGTTTATCAAAGAGAAGTAAGGTTAGTTATGTTTTTTTGCAGTCACAAAGTAGAGATCACAGCTGTTAAGAGAAACTGAGACCCACTCATAGGCAGAGGGCCAGAAGTCGTCAATGCACCACGTGAATCCCTACTGAACATTTGTGCTGCCCTCCATTTTCTTAAAGTTTTTAGGGGATTTGGTTCCCTCACTCCCCATTGTTGCTTGTACATGGAGGAAAGAAAAAAGAAATCTCTATTCTTTTTTTAATTCCTGCTCTACTTCTCTACTTTAAGAACCTGAAAACAGGACTGAACAAGTTGAATGAACGGAAATGAAGAAAAAGTTCTCTCCGTTCCTGCCAAAAAGGTGCTTGTTGTGAAGAGATGGTCTGATATATCAGCGAACTTCCTAGTTCCAGGTGCTCTGCTAGTGACCTAACCAGTGACTTCAATGGCTTGATATTCTTTGAAACTATAGCAACTGTGTAATGTTCTAGAATCAGCTTTTGTTTATAGTATTTCCTTAAATACAGGGCAACCATGCATTCAAGGCAAAGCTTCCTGTCTACTTTACAGAGGGGAAAAGGCTGACCTTGAGTAAAAAAATGAATGCTTTTTTTTTCCAAATTCCTACCCAATCTGAGACACCGAGTTCGTGCCTCCTACTTCCTGCACCTTCTGACCTCCCACCAGCCCCTCTCCAGCCCTCTCTTTCTTTCCATTATTCTGGTTTATTTTACGAAATAAATTGTGGTATGTAAAGCTTTTAAAGTCCAAATAAAACCTGGTTTGTTTAATGATCCGTTCTATAATCATTTGGTAGATCAAAATTCCCAGGCCAGTCTGCCCTCGCATTTGTCAGCTGTATAGACAGAATTCTAGCTGTAGTGAAGGAGAATAACCAGGGGTTCAACTTATCACGGCTTTTACACAATCAATATGTGGGTACTTGGCTTCCAATCCAGTAATCTGCTATTTTCTACTAGTCTGGCTGCTGGAGGATCTACTCACTCTACACCAGGGTTTAAAAATAGTACATGTAAGGTTTTGAAATTTCACAGCACCGTGCCCTCAGAGAAACAACTGAAGAGGTCTTTCTCTCACCTCTTTCGACTGCTCACTGCAACTGCGATACTGGGGGCTGGCGATGGGTCACAGCTCTGAACCCTTGGCTTAAAATTCCCCGGAGGAAGATGTCAGTTCTCATAATTGTAGGAAATAAACTAAATTGAGGAGCAGGACTCAAAATTATGGGTCTGTCCTAATGTAGGTAACAGCAATACTGGACAATTAAGGTACAGCTATCAAAGCTGACGTATTTGGCTTATTTCTTCCAATACTGAAATAATTCCTGCCCTCCATTCCTTCAGTCAGAATATACAACGAAGTCATCTTATTTCATAGCCTCGGATGTTTACCTTGGATGTGGTCTCTGAAGGGTTGGTCCTTTCAGCATCTGACACTACTTTCTCGAATAATTTTAGAAGCCATTTTTTGGATTTTGACCAGTTCCTGTAAAGAAAAGCAACAAACAAGAAGCACTTAACTGAGGCAGCACAAACCAACATTTCCTTTTCCATGGGAAGGACTTCACCTCGGCCAGACCTCATCTTGCAGCCAGGACCTGTGACTGCAAGACTCCTAGATTTTCATATCTATTCCACTACAGGTTTTCACTGTGGCTTTGGACAATTGCTTAGGTCAATCTTTTCAAGAATGACCTCCCCTGAGAAAATAAAGGTCACATTTTTAGACCATCCTTAGTCCTTTCTGAAGGCTAGTTTGAGGAGCTCAAGGTGCTGTCATGGCCCTGACAGCACTGACAGGCTCCCTTCCTTGGAGTTTGGTTGCCTCTACCCAAGGTCTGCTCTGCAACAGTGCAGCCATGTAACCTGGGATCAGTCTGCTGGGAAAACAGCTAAGGTGTGGGAAAGATGCCTCGCTGGGGACCCCCTCAGCTTGGGACTCACATTTAGGCTCAGGCCTTTGCCCTTTGCCCAGTTCTGCTGCTCCCTGACAGGTCCAAGCTGGACCCTGCCCACCTAGGCAAGGTTGTTTCTGCTTTATGCCAGGAAAATGCATGAGACAAGGTCAGAACTTTTTGAAGCACCTAGCTGAAAGCCTGCCTGACCCAAGGGTGCACTATGGATAAAGACAGCGCATCATCCTCCAGGGGAAATCTCTCACGGTTGATATCCCAGCAAGCAAAATGCGTCTAATAGGTACACCACGTCCATCATCTCCGCTCTGTTACCTCAGGAAGCACTCAGGCATCTGAGAAGCGTATTCGAAGTCCTCATCGTACTTCTGAAAATGTTCTTCAAACTCCTTGATTTCACTCTGGCTTGTCGGGCAGATGCCTTTCCCAAACAAAGTGTTCACCACTGCTGGATACATGACATGCCTGCAAGGACAAGATCCCCGTGACTTACAGGCCACAGGGAAGCTGTCGCAACCGTTTTAGGTCAGGATGCGGCGTGTTGAATTGCCAACACTAGAAGCGCGGGAAGGGCTGGCACAAGGCTCGTACCTCACTCACACCCTTATTGCAGATTGTAAGCAGAGGCTGGGAGATACACGGACCTCAGGCTAGTCCTCTGCATGTGGCTGAACTTCATCAGTTAGCGTTTGGTCACTTGAGCAGTGGCAGAAAGGCTCTGGGCGCTGACGTCCCCTTCTCCCCGTTAACCACCCCTCTTATTTCAGGTTAGCCCATGTGGACCTTCTGGGCATTGCACAACCCCTTCTGCAACCAGACACCCCGAGAAATCCTTCCTCTGGCTGCAGATTTGCTGGAGTGAACAATGCTTTGTTTTGTTTTCTTTTTATCTCGCTCCGTCCCTGTTTGCTCCTCTGTTACCCTGCAAACTCTGAGTTCGTTTCCCAGGCCATTTCACCTGGACTCGATGTGTTGGACAACTCACAGTGTGAGTCAATGGACTCACCTGGGAAGGACTCGATGATCTTAGAGGTCTCTTCCAACCTTAATGATTCTATGATTCTATGACTCTTGAACTCTGAGAAACCCTCACGCAGCCTTTGCTGGGTTCCAGACACTGCTAAACGCGTATTTCAGGCAACGGCTCTTTCACTTTCTCGCTTTCCTACAGATCATAAGGAAGATGGAGCCACCTGCTGGCTCTGTGGATTTAATTTTGAGGCAGCTCAATAACAATTATCCAGGGAATTGCACTCCAATTCTTCTATCTTGTATTGTCTGGCAAAGCCATAAGAACAGATCACACTCAGCACAGATTTACTGTGGATGACTCTTACGGATTCTGTGGTTTATCATCTAGCCTATGACTTTTTTAAAAATTTTAGACAAATAGCAGCTGATTCAGATTCGATGACCAGTGTCCATGACAGCCACGGCAGTGGGAAGAACGCCCTGCTCCCCAAGGCTGCATCAGGGATGCAGTAGGGAGCCATGCATGCTTCATGTATGACTTGTAGACCAATGCCGCCATGGGCGCCCATGCCGTGTCACGGACCACGGTCTGTGCTGGTGCCAGTACAACAGAGAACAACAGGTCCATCCCTGCCCTCAGAAACTTCAGCCCGGGTAAAAGACCACAGACGGATTCAGACCAGGGGGTAACAAGAAAATGTGAGCCAATATCAGCATACCAGGCAGTATATACATATACATACCAGCATGCTACCGATTCGATGACTGTCTGCTTTTTCACAAGAAGCAGATGTGTCTTTGATCTCAGAAGGCAGGCGAGGGACCACCACGGGATGTGGGGGTTTGCACCTCATTATTGAGACCAGTGGGACTGAGGGCTGGGAGGTTTCAAAGCCCCTTTCCCCCACATTTTTCCCCAGTTAATCCAAATTGGAGTAATTGAAGTGACAGGCGCTCAGTGTTTTAGCTGCAGTAAAAAGCCGTGTCTTAAATGTATGATGCAGAAAAAGTCAGCAAAAGACAACCTGGATGTGAGGTCTTAGAAACGGGTCCAAGCCAAAGGCAATATTCAGCTTGTAGTCCTGATGGACAGGCAAGATACGGGTGTTGTCCCAGATGATCAGGAAGAAGGAGGAGTTAAAAGCTCTGTTGTTGTCACATGAAGCTGTCAGTAAAGGGATTTTTTTACATGAAGGATGAAGTTCCGGCAGCAAAGTCAGTTGCGGAAGTCTTATTTAAGTTTTGGGCTAGGCTTGGAAACCAGGGAAAACGGTTTTTTGTCATGCGTGTGAATATCAATCATTTTGTCCGTTCATAAGTTCTTTATAATGTGAAACTTTTATCCCATCTTTTGGGAACGGGGTTTGTTGGAAGATGCTGTGTTTTCTTTTTTCTTCCAAACAGGTAATTCAGATGTTTCTCCCAGCCGGGAGAAACACCTTTAGATGAAACCCTGTCCGCTCTGTGAGCCGCCTGAAACTGAAGCAGTGATGAGTATCCTGACACAGCCTTTCTAACGCTTGTGAGCCTGAGCTCCACCTGCTTTACGGTAACATCTCTGCTCCCATATAGGTTACGCACGCGTTAGAGATGTGCTGCAAAACTCCCTTACCTTACCAGGTCATTGAGGTTGCCTGTGCCCTCCGTGCCCAGGTGTGCCATGTGCTCATGTAGTTCCTTACACAAAGTGCCCGTGAACATGTGCAGATTTGAAGGACCCATTTTTCCCTTCATCATGCTGTAGAGGTTACCATGGTTCTGATAAAATGCTTCTGCAGGGACAGAAACTAAATACAAAAAGAAACAGAAATGTTTTGGAAAGTAGATGAAGTAGATTTTGACTGAAAGATAGATTGAAAATTTTTACGCATAACTTGTGACTCTAATTTAAATGCCTTAACCCTCATTTTCCTATAGTGAAATTCCCAAAAAGTTTTCCTTCTAACCCTGTAAAGATTTTGGTGAGCCCCCTGATTCTACCAGTCTGTGTAACACCTTCCTGCCTCATGAAGCTTCAGTGCCAGAATCAACAATCCAGACATTTCCCCCCAGCTTCCGTGTGGATGTAGAGATGTGCATGCGCGCCACAAAACTGAGCTGACATGAAAAATAAATTAATCCAAGAAAAAAACAGTTTGGGTCTTCACGCTATAGTACATCGTCTCAGTCATACCAGGAGAGTCTGAGAGAGCTGGGACTGTTCAGCCTGGAGAAGAGAAGGCTCAGGGGGATCTTATCAGTGTGGATAAATATCCGGTGGTGGGAGTAAAGAGGCGGTCAGGCTAGGGCAGGAGGCAATGGGCACAAATGGGAACACAGGAGATTCCACTGAGACGTAGGAAAGTTTTTATTGTGAGGATGGTCAAACACAGGAACAGGTTGCCCGGAGAGGCTGGGGAGTCTCCATCCTTGGAGATACTCAGAACCCAACTGGACACAGCCCTGAGCAACCTGCTGTCACTGACGTTGCTCCGAGCAGGGGCTTGGACTAGGCGATCTCCAGCGGTGCCTTCCAGCCACAGGGATTCTGTGATTTAATCTCTCTGCCAACTTGCTTCTCTTTCATTTCACAGACCAAAATTGCCAAACTACTCAAAGAATTCCTGTCTGTGCGGTTCCACACGGATATAAGCACATGAGCTGATGGAGCATGCCACTGCGGGTGGGATATATACCTCATCCCTTTCTAATGACTGTGGTACTACAGGGTAACAACTAATTATTGCTACAAGCTGATGTTCAAATTAGGTGATAAGACAACATACTATTGCTCCAAACCTGGTACACGTAGGTGGAGGGTCTAGCCGCAGAAAAGGACCTGATCTCAAACTGGGGTTGCTTGATGATAAAAGTAGTATCAGTCTCTGGTTCAGAAACCTTTGATCCCTTGAGACTGAATCCAAATCACTTAGCAGGCTTACAGTGCTGGATCCACATGAAGGAATTTCACTTCGCCTTAATTTCGTAGCATGGTCATGGGTTAAGATAAGCATTTAAGGCATGATCAAAAAGCCAATGGGCCTTGGATTGGGCTTTAATGTTCCTGGGTGACTAGATTTGATTTCCGTTAAAAAAGAGCTAGGTCTCATTTACCTGCATTCTCGACAGCTTGTTGTACCGCCCGTTCAAAATTTAAGTCTTTAGATTTAAAAAATGCTTCGGTTCCTTCTTCCTCAGTCACAAAAGTAAACCGTTTTCCCAGAGCGAATATTGTGAATACAGGCCCATGCTGGAACAAACAAAGATTTCGTATCACTGTATTGTTAACACGTTTGACGGGAGCCCCAAGAGGACTTCAGTACTGCTGAGAGGTCAGGAGGGAGGACCTGCTCCTTCCTGCTCTCTGTACGCCTTGGCTCGGAAGTGCACAAAGATGAACATGAATCAGACCAAAATTTGTAGACTTACAGACCAGAAGGGAACATCACAGGGGCCTGCCTGTCCTCGTGCAGAGTAGAAGAGATCCCTTCTCTGAGATTAACATTTTATATTTGAATTACATTACAGTTCAGACAATACAACCTACCTGGATTTAAAGAACCCAAGTGATGGATTACCTACTGCATCCCTTGGCTGCCGTAGCAAAGTACCCACATTGTAAAAATCCATAATCCTACCTATTTCAATCTACATTTTTTAAACAAAAACTCCCCACTCCTGCATCTTTTTAATGTGTTTTTTTCTTTTCTTTTCTAGTTTAAAGGTTCTGCTAATACCAACAATTTCTTTCCTGTACAGGTGTTTAAAGATTAACATCAAAATAGCTAACAAGCTTTGAGCAGAGTAGATGGAGTTTGTTGAGACCTATATTCAGGGAAGGTTTCTGATGCCATAAATCATCCTTTCGTTTTCCCTTAATCTAACATCCTAGAGCCCTCCCAAAACTTTCAGCAATAAGTATTCACTTCTGAATTCCTACATTATGAAAAAGATCACCGATATTTGTAGCTACCCTAAACTAGCAAACGAATGTGTGATATCCGCTGGCTGTCAGATTTAGGCATAAGAAAATCAAAATTAGGAAATGAAGCATCTGTAGCATCTTTTTCTTAGTCAAGGCAGTTTCTGCTCACAGGCAAAAGCCTTGGAAACCAAAAGCCCAGCATTTACACTGCTACGCTCACCACCTTCTTTTGGCAAAGTTACTGTGCGTACGGAAAGGTTTGGGGCTTTCATAAAGTCTCTAGACACATCAAGGAAGTTGATTTTCTTTTCCAGGTTACGTTGCTGACAAGGGTGAGAAACAGTTTTCTGTTGATCTGTTTGGAGTGCTGAAAAGCCTCGAGTCCACCTTGCTCGCATGGTTTATGCCACTGACTTTAACCATTTCTTTTGTTGTCTGTGTCTGTGCTGTAAAGCCCGCTTCATCAAAAGCTCTTTGAAGCCAAGGAAAAGATTCCTCTTGACATCAATTGAATTTTGATTGTGTCCTTCAACTGCAAATTATTGAAGAAAGAACGACTGTTTAAACTCTCTGGGTGATAATAAATAAAATACTGTTTTCATAATAGCTAAATTGCTAAGGTTGCTTTTTTATGGATAACAGCATGCCCTCATCACCAGGCTGGATAAAAATCAGTGAATTTGTACTGTGCTTGTTTTTAAATCAGATTTTTTAAATTTTAAATTAACATTAAAATGTACTTAAACTAATTTCAAAATAAAATTAAATTTGAACTAATAGCAACATGCAGTAACCTTAATTATTCAATTAAGGTCACACTCAGTTAAAGATCGGAACACTTTATTTCAGATGGTTACATGTGAGCGAGACGCCTAAGCTCCCATTATAGAGAATGAGTCTATGCAGTCAGGGGAGCCGAAAAACCGACTCATCCGACCAGCTGCTGCACACCTCTGGGTTTGACGGTGAGCTGAACTGCCCTTCGACTCCACTGACAGGACCGACTGCGTGCCCACTGACCATCAGTAAAGCTTGGACGTCTTGCTTACCTGGGAACACCTACACAAACAACCTGGTTTTGAATCTCATCCGATTTCCTGCAATCTATTTAGAATAATTAAAATTAAACCAAAAGTAAACAAAACTGAAATAAAACAAGGTCCATGAAGGACCTCCAGAACAAGTCAGCTTCATTGAACAGCACAGCGATGGCGGATATTCAAAGACACATCTTTCAGAAAGCAGAATTTTGTCTCCAAACAGGAAATTACAAATAAATACAATACCTGACAAATTAAATGTAAAATTAAAATACTAAAAAAGATTTGAGAATCAAACTACTAATGGCAATCCCCATCCCCAATAATAAAGACTTTTCCAAACATGCCAGATGCAGGAAGTCTCCCAGGGTGTTGCTGAGCCTGATAAATGCTCAAGGTGTAAAGAAACCAAGTGGGGAAGCAATCTGAGTTAGCGGTTACAACAGTTTAAGACAAGTCCCACCCTGGAGCCTTTCACCGAGAGTGATGGACTGAGACCTTGTTTCAAAGGAATTATTAAGTAGAATAGGCTTAAACAGGCTGAAAGAGTGGTTAAACATTGGACCAGGCTGCCCAGGGAAGTGGTTGAGTCACCATCCCTGGAAGTATTTAAAGGACATGTAGATGAGGCGCTTAGGGACATGGTTTAGTGGGCATGGTGGTGCTGGGTTGACGGTTGGACTTGATGATCTTAGAGGTCTTTTCCAACCTTAATGATTCTATGATTCTATGATTCTATGATTCTATGAAACAAGTGCTAGGGAAATCAGTGATAAATACGTCAATTCAAAACTCTAGAGGGATTAAAATATGAAGTTGCAGAACTACCTACCGTGATCTGTGAAATCACGCTCAGCACCAGGAGGATGGACAGGCAAACGTGGTGCCTCTCTAAAGGGCTCCTGAAGGAGGACGGGGGAAGCCTCAAAGAGTCATTCCAGTACTCAGCAAATCTTTACAAGCATTACTAAAGACCAGGATTAGTAGTGGATAAATAGGCTGTACCGAAGAAGAGCCCAATACAGCTTCTAGGAAGACTTAAGGATGTGTGGCCTTAAACTTATTTCTACTTCATTCCTTAGAAGAAGGAATTAAAAGTTTACTCATGATCTGGAGTCATTTGGGAGTCTAAACTATGAGGAGACCTAGAAACATCACAGAAGAAGAAGGCCTAGAAGAATCACATTCTGAAATGACTCCAAGATCTATTATACAAGTGCTAATAATTAATTTAGAGCTCTCATCTTGCTAGGAAAGGAGCGGAGGAAGGACAGCAAACATCTAAACCCATCCTGCGCCCACATCTTCAATTTAATGTGGGTCTCTGCCCATTCCATCTCAGCAGGATATACTGAGCTAGAAAAGGCAAAGGGATGCACAGCAGGCATGAGTGAAAGTTTCAGTAAAAGGAGACTAAGCGGACTTAGATCCCAGGAAAGGTGAAAAGAGAATAATTACTCCCAGTTTCTCATAACGTAAAAGCTAACGGGCACCTATTAGAAGCTAGCTGGTTTAAAACCAGGCAGAATACTTTCTTCGTATGGTTCATGGTTAAATCATGGATTCATTGCTGGGGGATGCTGTGAAGCCAAAATTATACACAGGGTAACAAAAGAGAGAGTCAGATCATCCGGATGCAAATTCCAGCCTAGGAAGTCCCTAAACTGTGGATGATGACCAGAAGCTGGGAAGAAAAAGCAGAAGGCCGCGTGCCCCCATCTGGGTGTGCTCCTTACACCCTGTTACTGAGCATCTACTAATAGCTGCTATTCGAGACAGACACCTGAATAAACAGACTTTTCATCTGTCCCCGTATAATTACGCTGATGTTCCACTGTAATAACATCAGCTACTGGCACAAGCTGTCAAGCAGTTCTGCATTTGCCATCGTTGCGTTATGGGCGGGTACCAAGGAAGAGTGGGCATTGCCTGCCAACACTGCGTCCCAGTTTACTGCTCTGTCCGAAACAGCGTTCAAGGACGCCTGATGACACACAGAGACATAGAAAGCAAAATAAAAGTCCTCTTAGGATTTAGGGCCTACGAAGCTGCTTTCAGTCATGAAAGCTCTGTTTTGTCCAAAGACTGGGAAACACCGCACAAAACAGCAGTGCCATGATGAGAGGCAGATCTGAGCCTACATGAAAGTAACACTCCAGAGGAATAAAAACTTCAGAAGGACGTTCTCCAAAATCCCAAAGGAAGGAAAATGGGGAAAGAGCCATTTTTCCCAGGGGCACTGTCAGGAGGGGAGCAAGGACTCTCGGCTGAGACAGCTGCAGTTGTGTCAAGACTCACGTTGGGAGCCAGGAGCACTGGGCTGGTTTTCTCTCCGTTGGCATGCACACACACACGAGTTCAATGCCGTGTCCCCTCTCTATCTCAGGGACTTCAGCATTTTGGTCTTCTGTGCATGGGAGCAGGGTCACAGACCATTAGCGACCCAGCTGTGCACATCGTCTTCAGAAACACTCCACCAGAAGCCTTGTCCTCTTCTCCAGCCTGTTTCCCCTCCACCAAACCTCACGCAGGATGCGTGTCCCTTGCCATGTAACCCAGCGAGCCATCCCTCACGCAACCACACGCAGATAATAAGGCTGCGAGGCATCTAGCTGAGTCCCGAGACATGGCGCCATGTCCCAAACGCAGTGAGAGCGATGTACGGATCCACAGGTCCGTACAGCAGTGCAGAACAATCATCTCATGGGTTTAATTGAACTTTTCTTGTTAGCTTAATTAGCAAACCGATGAGAAGCATTTGAAATTCCTTATTAACTCTTATCGTGTTTGCCAGGCAAAGTGGGGAACCACATCCTTTGAACCCCTCATTAAGCAGCTCTACCTGTATTTTTTGTTGCATGGTGGCTCCGGTCCTGCCCATCCCAGACCGCCTGCAAAACTGCTTTAACTAGCCAGGCAGCTTTAGGAGGAAGAGGTGGTATCTTTTTTTAGACCAGAGATTAAATATTAGAGCAGGGGATCTTTCTTTTCTTAGACCCACTGATGACACAAGGGGAAAACCAGACAATTCTTCCAGCCCACGTCTTCTTCTGTAGGAGGAAAACAGAAGGAGCGAACTTCAAGCGAAGTGCAGGTTGGAAGCAGCGGAAGTCTGGTGTGTTACTCCAGGGCTTGAGAGAAAAAGCAGTGAGGGATACACACAAAAGGGACAATAATAAGAAAGCTAACTCTTTAAGAAAGAAAAATAAATGAGTGTCACTTCGACAGACTGAAGGATTAATCCGGGGGGGAATTTTCTACTTGCAAAAGTCTCCCCTGAAGGTAAGGACCCTATGGAGCTGAAGAGGTTTCACGCTGCCTAGAGCCTGTTTCTGCACTAACTTTTACGAGGGCAGCTTACTCGTACTAAGGACACGTAACCCTGTTCTGGCAATATTAAGGAACTTGGGATTATTGCAGACGTATTTTGCAACCCTTGTAATGCCTGTTAATGACCCCTTTGGCAGCAGCACCTGTTTTATTTGGCCGTACTGTGCCACAGTGCCTACTCCTTTAAAAGGGAGCAGGCAGGAAAAGGCTTCTTTCCTGGCCTCAGCGCATCGTGCCAGTGTGGGAGGTGGGAAGGGAGACGTGCCTGGGGTGTTTAAGGAGAGGAAGGGGAGAACGAGGGAGTAGCCCTCCCCGGGGACAGGGAGACTGCCGGATGACCGTGCTGCAGGCGGGCAGGCAGCCAGCCTGGGGGTGACGGATGGAAAAGTCCCTCTTGGCCCAGGGGGGTCCGCAGGGAGAGGTCACAAGTCACAAGGACGCCGAGTTGCTGGACGAAGAAGAAAGTCAAAGGAAAGGTCCTATCTGCAAACACGCAGTAAAGGGGAGATAGATATGTAAGAAAGCCGCCTCTTTCTGCTTTGCCTTATTTTGAGTTTTCTCCCATTGAAAATGTTTCCTGTTCTAGTTTCTGTCCCAACAAAACCTGGGGTTTATAAAGCCCTTCAGGTGTTTCTGGTGTGTCCAGATGTGTCAGCAGCTGCCGTCGCACCAACAGCGGCCTAAAGGGTCTCCAGGCAAATGAACATCGAAATTAATGGACCCAGAGCCACTAAGTTTGCATTTGTACTTCAGTACGTTCTTTGGTATGTAAAAGTTTTGCTCATTCAATCTGTGAATGAACCCCCAAAATAGGACTCTTCTGTCAGGTTTGTTTTAGAATTTCATCTAAGAGATTTTGCTAAAAGCTTCCTGGAAAAAAAGGCAACTAAAGCAAGCTTAAGTCATGGTGAAACATCCGTCCCCAAAAGGGATTGCGCTGGAAAGGACAGTTTGGCAAGCTGCTTTAATCTGGTTGCCACCAGGATATGTTTTCAATAGAGCAAGTAGGTTCTCTAAC